CGAGAGAGAGAGAGGGCGAGAGACAAAGAGATAGAGAGAGAGAGCGAGAGAGAGAGAGGGCGAGAGACAAAGAGATAGAGAGAGAGAGCGAGAGCGATAGATAGATATATAAATTTAAATTTTACAGGATGTAAGTAACGACGTATAAACCAGATGAAATGATTTCATCGTTGTTAATCACCTATAAGTGTGGTTGAATGTTTAACCCTTAACTCTGTTCTAGGGTATGCTAGTGACTGAGCGATTTGTTAATCAGGCCAATACGTATACACTCCGGTCTTCCACACGCAGACACATGCATGCAGACACATGCCCACTCTCGCACGTACGCACACACACACACACACACACACACACACACACACACACACACACACACACATGCGCACACGCACGCACGTCCGCAGGCAACCACGCACCACACGCATACATATATAAAGCTGTACTTCCAATTGAATACTATAAGAAAATAAAACCCAATTCTAAGACAACGAAGGTCAATAATAATCCCTATTTCTGTGCGAAACAATGGACTGTATTAGAGCAAGCGAGAACTGCGTTAGTGAATGAGCCGAAACAAGAAAAGATCCGAGAAAGAACTTTAGACGCAAAGCGGGAATAGTGAAACAAGCACACACATACGCACGCACGCACGCACGCACGCACACACGCAGGCGTGCACACACGCACGCACGCACACACACACACACACACACACACAACCCACACACACACACACCCACACACGTACACACACGCATACACACACGCGCTCACACGTACACACGCGCACACATACACCCGCGCACACATACCCACATGCATACACACACGCATACACACACGCATACACACACGCGCTCACACACACACGCGCTCACACACACACGCACACGCACATACACACGCATGTACGTACACGCAATAACGCGCGCCTAGACGAACACGCGCGCACACACACACTGGGTTTTTAAATAAAAAAAATAATGGTAAATAAACACGAAATGTATTTACTACCAAAGTCTTAATGTTTCTCTACTCTCCTTCGCCTATTATTGCCGATAACTTTCTGTAAATGCCGTTCAAATGCTCCTCTGCAACACACAAGTACACCACAACACACACAACTAGAAATGAATATAGAGTTCTTTTGAGAACTCTAGTGTGAGAACTCTAGTTCTCAAGGAGCATTTGAACGGCATTTACAGGAATTTAACGGCAATAATAGGCGAAGGAGAATAGAGAAACATTAAGACTTTGGTAGTAAATACATTTCGTGTTTATTTACCTTTTTTTATCGAGACGTTCCAAGGGCCTGTGCGTATTATTGTAGCAATAATGGCAGTCGTAACCCTACCACGTTTCCGACAACGGCCCCAGAATTATATATGCAAATTTATAACAAAAGGACACATATATATAACACCAGGGGTTAATAATAATAATTTGTATTATATCAAATGCGATAATATTCCCCCTGATAATATGCGAATCTGTGCAGCGCTGCAAAGCTAAACCGAAAGTGAATCGAAGCAAAGCTGTGCCACGCAATCTTGTATCATGTCTCTCTGGATGCACGTTGGTTGGACGTTTCATGCTCTTTTGCCAATTTTGGATAGACTATAATATATATCTTCCGTGGCGATATCACGACAGCGAGATGGATCAATGCCAGCTTCGCATATAATTGTAACGGGTAAATGATGGCGATCCTTGCTCTGTATATTGTCTGCAGGGCCGTAGCCTGCGGGGGGGGGAGGGGCAAGGGGGGCAGCTGCCCCCTAAATTTTGGAGCAAAATATAAAAAAAAAATTGTTTTACTAAAAGAGAATTGTCGTAGTCAGAATGAAGGCTGTACATGTACTCAAAAGTGCCTCGAATACCATCTCCTGCGATCTACATTTTCAAAATTTCCTGTGGGAGGACACCCAGACCCCTTACCTGTTTCTCACCCCTCCTTGAAATCATGGATCCGCCACTGCCCCCCTCCCTAGGAATTTGCTCAGCCTACGACCCTGGTCTGGGAACGTTGAGTCAGGCACGTACAAGTGGAAGTGGGCGTGTGCTCTTTTGTACTCTCAAAAACGTTGGTTTAAATGTAATGTATAATTTTCTACATTTTTCAGGGTTACGCACGCGTAGAGGATGCATGTCATTATTATTACTAACTCTGGTACGTATTATAGGTTATATCAAGAGCGTATTCAGAAGGTTCTCGATACGCTTCTTAATAGGCTTCTGGTTATATGGTAATCATTATATGCGCTTGGTTTTATGTAGCTGGTTTGCCCCCATGCTTCACACCCCAGCTGCGATGTAATTGCCATTGTGACATGATAGTGTGGTGCTTGTAGTTTTAGGGGGGGGGGGCAGTAATAAGAGCTTTTCATGATCAGTAGCCAGGAATGTTGTCGGTGCTCTGTTATTATATCGATGTTGTAAACTAGGGATGTTGTGATGGATATCCTGTTGGCTGCCAGGGCAAGGGGACGCTGACTACGTGCTTTTATGGGAAAATATATTCTCGATAGCCGCATACATATAATATTATGTATGCAGAATTTTATCCTTACCTCCGAACGAGCACAAACATTGCGCTATGCTACTGAACGGGTCTTATCTTTGTGTAAAGTAAATACACATTTCGATATTAAGAGTGACGTTATTCGTAACGTATCTATAATTCTTTACACAGTAGGCCTACCTAACGCGCCCTATAAACGATAATCATGCGTTTGTTATATTTTGCAGGCGATTATTTCACAGTGTCAGGTGACAGTGGCGAAGAATCGGTACGTAATGGGTCAAATATTGCATCACGTTTTAATTTCGTATGAAGAAAGATATACATTGTTAACCGTGAAACAATACATGTATAATATTGTAACATTATTATCTGATTATTTGGGCAACATTAATTTTCGGGGCGATTTCCGAGGATACAGACAATAATAGCTTTCTTATACATAATATTAAATTAATACCTCCCATGGCTAGTTTTCATTACCCAATGACTCATCATAAGCGTCAAAACACTGTAAATCAAATTCGCAATGCATCACGGTGGCTATTTAATTCATTCTAGGCAGCTCCACCGCTCAGCGGGCAACATTGATTTTGTGATCCATTATTGATCCAACATCATATTGCATCATATTGCGGTATTTCTCGCAGCCAAATAACAAATAATGTTATCACAAAATTCATAAAAGGGTAGGTGTGGATATATGGCTGTAAAAGTTCCCTTCCCCTGTTATTTTTTGTTTTGGAAAAAAATATATAGGTTATGACGATATTGTTCCCTTGCAGCTACGGCGACTACAGCAAGCGAGGCCTGTCACCTTATCACAATTATGGGCTTTATTCTCATGGAAGTCTCGACCAAAGCCTTAATGGTAATATATATATATATATATATATTAATCAAATATATATAATCAATCTATTAATCAATATATCAATTGCATCATAAGTAGATTACTATAGACACCATGTTCATAGCGCTCAACAATAATTATGTGCTCCAGGATATCTTACCAAGATGCCTTACGAATGCAATAATTAATCATTTACCCTTACTCATTAAATAATAATTGCATAGGCATTATATATATATATATATATAGGTGTCCATAGTAATCTGCTTATTATGCAGTTGATGGTTTGTTGCAAACTCTTAATTGCAAGCTCTTAATTGATCTCCGGCTTTGCCATTCAACGTGTTTCAGGTATATCGCGCATCTGTGACGTCACGCACTGTCATGGCATGCTGCTGAACGTCGACTTTCCCATGCCCTTTTATGGACATCTATACGTGCCAGGCGCAAATGGCAGTCCGTACTGCAGCGTGCATGGCCACGGAAAGCGCAAGCAGACCTTCTTCGTGCCGTTTACGTTTTGCGGAATGAAACGGGTGAGGACAATGTCATAGGATATTGGTACTGAAAGATATACGAAATCTCGACGAGTAGTGCATGTGTTCCTCCATGTACACTCATGCTGCATCCCTCCACACTCCCTCTACCTCCCTACATACTCCCACTGCCTTATTGCATACTCGCGTGCTTCCTCCTTGAATACTCACGCTGAATGATCACATTTTTCTGCTGCCTCCTTACATAAAACATATCCGTGTACTCGCAACCCGTATTTCCTCATATTTCACCAAAAGTCATACATCGCTGAAAGATTTCTTCAACATTTCCAAATAAAGCAGTTAGAGCGATGGCGACAATAGAAGATCGTATTAACCAATTATGAGGTATATAGTTTAATATATGTTGTTTTCTCGGTTTTATAATTTTGCATTGCTATTACTTTTTGTTTATACTTTGTACTAATTTTGTTTAATGACTTTCTACTTCAACTTGATACAAATCAGCACGGATTACAGCATTTTGATATTTCGGTTTGAACTGCAGGCCGATCTGTATGGAAACTATCACTCATACGTCAGAGTGTGGAATACGTTTGTTCTCGAATGGGCACCATATTCTCCTAGATTCAATCTACCAAGTATCAACTTCGAAGTGGAATGTCATCTACCGATGGGATACACGTTAGATTAGTAAGCATAACATCAGAAGTAGATAATAGGGAACCCTATATAGGGATAGGGGGGTTCCCTATTATCTACTTCTGATAACATCATATACGCAAAAAAGCAAGCAGTCACAAACTTGCATCACACTACATTAAATATATAATAGATTCAGAGGTAAAACAACGCGTCATAAAAATAAAGCATTATTCTCAAAAGCATTAAAGCTTAACTCGATTATACCAATTCCCTAGCCGTCCGATGCAACATAATAGTGAATGATAACGGCCTCTTATGTACAAGACGTGACTTCTTCGTATATGACATAGATCCACTATATATATCCACTATACCCCTATATGTAATTACTTGGTAACGTGAAACAATAATTGCCCCATGTACAGACGATACGACGTGGTGAATACGAAGGGAAGAGGTATATTTTATCCATTCATGAATCCTTTCTAGGTTTCTGCTGCCGTATATACAAACCATTGCCTTGCTGATTGTTGCCGTTTTTCGATGTCTTACAGCTAAACCAAGCCTTTACGGTCGTGCAACGGTGCGTACGGGTGTGCGTATTTCTTGCTTGAGTAAGCTATAAGTTATTGCTAAGTAATAATTTCATCTGCGTCTTTTTTATAGCAGTCACAAGGTCGAGTCCGAATGCTCAAATTTCTTCAAGTCGAAGAACGTTTTACCAGGTAATAGTAATGTCGCATCTGTAGGCGAACGTATGCGTGCGTACGTTCGCGTGCGTCTACGCGTTGGCGCCTGTCTCTACGTGTAACCGCCGGCATTCATCATTCACCAGATAATATTGTAAAACGTGTTAGCTCTGCTAAAAATCTAGTGTTGATATCTATCACAAAAGTAATATTTCGTAAAGTGTGTCTAGATGTTTGCCACATTTTCATGTTGAGTAGCAATACTAACAATTGGGGTCGATTCGTTTTAAAGAAATCTCGCTTCAGGCAATATAAAAAGGCGTACCTGCCTACAGGTGTCTATCGGTAAAATATTGGTGGCTGTAGAAATGTTTGCGAAACGCATAAATGAAGAAAAATTACTTCCCGAGGAAAATACACCCTGGTCCCCAAGGTAGATTTGATCACCATGACCCTGGCATAGCTCTACCCTTGTTACTTTCAATGCAATTGTAAAAAAACTGTATTTGAATAACTCTCAATTATAATGTCAAAACTCCAAAAAAAGATGTCCCAATTGGACGGAGCTGCCTGGATACGACGCAATGTCTTGGCGGAGACGGTGCACAGTGCCAAGACGTCGGTTATGGACAACGGAAGTGTGGTTGCATAACCGGATACGAGGCCAGAAGATTGGCATACCGAAGTCATTCATATGATAAATATGGATATCACCAAACTGCGTACCACTTGGAATGCAGACGAGGTATGTGTAATAACTCGCAATGTAGAAAGGTACTGGCCACTGGTATCTGGATAAAATCAGCAAGTATGTGAGTTTTACTGATCAAATTTTTAGGTAACCGTCAGTGATTATGTGTATTTACTCCGATAACAATCCCAATTCGTTGCAAACCTGGTGCATCTGCAGAACGTTTATGGACTAAACTTAGAAATTAATTACAACCTGCCCAATGTGTAACGTACACAACGTATAGTAATCAAGCACTCACCAACGGCGCGAAGACGCAGATATCTAGAAGAATTCCTTAACAACAGTTAAGTCAAGGACTTAGAATGAGGAGTGTATATTGATGCTTGTAAGAATGCATAAATAAAAAGCTTTAAATAAATAAGAATATATAAATATATAAGATAAATTTAAAAATAGAAATAGGTGTCAACATTTTATCACACGCGCGTTCGAGAACATATGTCTCTTCGTCATGCGACAACAACAGAATGTTGTAAATGTTGACACCTATTTCTATTTTTAAATTTATCTGATCTCTTCATGCATGGGTGTCCGTGTTTTACTTATTGTATAATATATATATATTGCAATATATAACATATATATTATATATATATGTTGCAATTCTCGCGTGCAGTGATCACACACAACCATATAATCTGTGGTAATTGATATTTCAGTTACAACCTCTGCCACTGTATGTGAGGACACATGTGCGGAGATCACTTGCCCGGTTGGTCAAACGTGTCACTCGAATGTTTGTGCTGGCACGTGTTTACTCGACGCAGATTGTACGGACACAGCTGCACCAGTATGCTGCAATGGTATTTGTGTCGCATGTCAAGATGACGACCATTGTACCGATTCTGATTTACCTGCGTGTGTTAATGGCACGTGTATCGCATGTGCAACTAACACGCACTGCATGAATACACCGCTAACACCAGTATGCTGCAACGGTGTGTGTGTCGCATGTCAAGATGACGACGATTGTACCGATTCTGATTTACCTGCGTGTGTTAATGGCACGTGTATCGCATGTGCAACTAACACGCACTGCAGCATGAATGCAGCAACACCCGTATGCTGCAACGGTGTGTGTGTTGCGTGTCAAAATGATGCAGGATGTACGGCGATTAATGCGAATTTACCGGCCTGCACTAGCGGAACATGTGAGCAGTGTAACATGGATTCGCACTGCTTCATTGGGCTTCCTAGATGTGTGAACAAAGCCTGCGTCGAGTGCATCATAGACACGGACTGTGCCACCGGGGAAACATGCGACGATAATCTCATGTGTGTTGCTGGGTGCACAGACGCATCGTGCATGGCTATGGATCCGAACTCATACTGTCCGGATGATATTGCATGTGCATGTCATCCCATATTCACTGAAGATAACGGAGTCTGTACAGGTACGTAAATTATACGACCTATAAGTGACTGTATATTCACCCATAGTCTTTACTGTAGTAACTTTATTTCGACTCGTATATACGTGTACGCTCAGGTGTGTCGGTGTGTGTGTGATCGTGTGTATGATCGTGGCTCGTGTGTATTATCGTATAGTGTATATACCATGTGATGGACTAACCCAAAAAAGGTCCTGCTTGGTGCGGGTAATTATGAAGTAATTACCCTGAGGTTAGCATAAAGTGATCGCCAGACAAACCAGACGTGTACGTACAACAGTATATATATATATCTATTATTTCACTCACTAATTAAGTACAAGCATACAAGGTTTTCGTCGTGTTAGATAAATGCAATACGGTGTGCACACCTTACCGGCGTGGCTACGGTGGTTTAGTCACAAGGTATAAATAGTCTATGTATCTTAGCTAGCGCTCCGTCTCTCTCTCTGCACATATACAGTGTATAGTTGTACTACCTGTTTTCTCATAGAGTAATCAACCAGAGTTGATGTGTATGATAAACAGAGGTAAGTACCGTAAATAAACAGATACAATGACTCAAAATAGTTTAAAGAGAGAGAGAGAGACACGTATACGATAGAGCACTCATACGATAGACCTATTAATACTTACAAGACGCTGACGTTCTGGAACTGTTTTTTAGAGTCCAGTACCTCGGTATTTATGCTACTTTTTAGGATCATTAGCCCGCTATCTGACGTCAGTACTGGCCTCGACACACCCCCTTAGACGGCGAGTTTACTGGACGTTCGGAAATGGTCAAGTTGTCCGTTCTACGTGGCTGCGTGCTATGGCACGACTAAGCTTAATCGTCTTTAAGATTAATTGTTTCTAAACTCTGCAGCGACATCCTATCCCTTAGGCTAGCCGGTCGCTTCACGATTTCCTTAATTAGTTTATTCTAATCAACTTTCCCTCTTGGTAATATTATCTTCATTACATTACGAAATTACAAATTCCCTGATAGGCATTGTACGTAATTTATCATCAGGGGCGTATAGCAAATCCATTTTGCGTGGAGGTGCAAATTAAGCCACGTTCAAGCTGCGTCCTGGGCAGGTGACCGTGGACAATTCGCCATTGACCATGCGAAACTATAAAAATTTCTCTGGGGGGGGGGCAGCTGCCTCGTACCTCCGCTAGCTACATTGATGTATTAGCCGTTGATGTATATTCTCATTTTAGGGGAAAATAATTATGTAAGGGTATCAAGAAATATTTATGGCACTAACTAAACTAACCAACGGGCAATCATGGGCCATTGCTGCCAAATAGATACAGGTAATTCTGTTCTAAGCAAAATACAGTGGGTGGATATAATGAGTTGTCGAAACAATGTGGGCCTGTTTGTGACCGATCAGTCTGATCTGGATCACTTGATCCCGCTCTGGCTAAAATAAATGCAAATGTGCTTGCATGTGTCAATGCCATGACCCCTCACCGGAGCAGCAGGGCCGTAGCTAGCGAAGAGGGGGGGGGCATGGGGGCATATCCATTACATATTCAATGGCCGAATATCATCACACACAAAAAACGGAGTTTTTACCAGAGACGAGATAGCACGTGCAATTTGCGGAAGTTTACCGATGCGTGCCATTTATTGACAATTTGCAACATGTGCATCATGTGTATCAATGGCCGATCAGGGCAGTGGCTGTCTCACATAGAGCTGAGCACCGTTGCGTCCGCCACCCGAGAACATTTTAGTCACACTAGAACTCTATGCAGAATCATAGATAGATATCTACTCCTTATATGTATCCTTATTCTCCACGATATGTATTTGTTTACTCAGTATGCTATTCCCCTATTTATGATCTTTAAAACAAGCCCAAGATTGTTCTTCTGTGTGTACGTGCTGTGTTTTGTTCGGGCAGGCAAACCACCATCACAACAGAGGCCATTCACAAAAAAACACGTGTTTTAAATCCACGGTCGCTCGCCAATGTGATGTCTTAAACATGTATAAGCATTGTCTAAAACCACCCTATAGCCTCGTTCACACGGGACCTCGTATTTATGAAATACGGTATTTGCGAAATACCGAATCTGAGACAAATACGCGGCCGAGCGTTCACACGCTGATTCGCGGCACCAGAAATACGGTATTTGCGAGCTGCGAGCTGCTTTAGTAACAATCAAGCGATTGCATTGTTTATTTCGCATTGTTCGCTTGATTGTTTAAAGCAGCTCGCAGCTCGCAAAGCGCACCAACTGCCGATAAAATACGTAGACTGGTACGCGCTCGTCAGTTCCACTCGCGTTACACTGGAACTGTCGAGCGCGGACCAGTCTATAAAATACGCGGCTTTAGAAATCCGGTATTTAGCGTTCACACGAGGAAATGCGCGGTCCAAGAAATCCGGTATTTCTCAAGCACGGCAAATTATTCGGGGTCTGGGAAGCCTCGTATTTACTAGACTGGTCCGCGCCCGACAGTTCCAGTGTAACGCGAGTGGAACTGACGAG